GATTTATGGGAATTTTAGGCCACCTTCGAGAGGACGCTGCGAAGTGCGAGGGGGAGTAAACGGCCGTGTGAAAAACGTGAAGTTAAGACAACCTATTGTGTTTGGTGCTTAAGTACTTTTATATTTGTTTGTCTGTTTGCCAATTCAACACACATACGCACACAAGATTGCTCAAGCAGCTAAATAGAAGGTCGAGTGGATGTCAGAGAAACTACTGACATCACTAATTATAAAAAAAAAATCATGATTTGTTGTTTACGTTTCAACGAAAGGGAGAATTTTCGACTGACACCGTGGCGTACCACCTGCTGTTACAGCTAGTTGTGTATGTTTCTGTGTCTGCGAAATACTAAGATAAGATGATTAAAAATAACACTTGTCGCCTGTTTCCTAATTGTTGACTCACGATTGTTGAAGCGACATTTTAATTGAAATGAGCGCCCACTTAATCATCTTTTGTGAAGTTTGGCGTTCTTTATCAAAGTGTAAAGCGTTTGGCACCACTTCCGAGTTAAACAAAAAGAAGCGTTTAAAAGGTACACAAACACAATACCTATGAATAATTTGATTCGTACATCATCTGTTCTTTCTCATTTTGCCAGTTGTAATTGCGTGTACTTCATAATAAGACTCAATTTAAGAGAAGCCAAGTAGAATATATGATAGTGTCTGATAAACCATTTTTCACATTTAATGTACGGCTATACATCATTAACTTTCTTAATTATATTAAGATTAAGTGTTTTGATAGATTAAGTTCTGGGATTAAGTGTTTTGATAGATTAAGTTCTGGTATAAGCAACAAGGTTAGCATCTAGCAATTTAATCAAATGATCACCCTCTCTCCTCCCCTGTCAAATCTCATGAACGTTTTTAGATAATAAAAAAACAACAACAACAACAAAATTCCGTTTGTAGTCTAATGAGCCAAATAGGTCTTCATACGTTAGTAATTCTATTTCGATGTTTGGAACTTAAAAGAAAAATGTAATCCATAAAATAACTATGGGATCTTCGACTAATTGTTTCTTGTGTGCGTGTCTTATATATGGCCAATCTTTACTATAATGGACGCAGCGTGTATGTCAGTATCTATATATGTAACCAAAACTCCTGCGCCATCTATTGAATGGCATCACAAACAAACATCCGTAAAAAATTTCAAGATTCAGACAATCAGAAAAATAACTGTGGTATGTGCAACAACCTTTTATAATAAAACAATTTTAAACAAATACTCTCCTCACAACAAAAACACGACTTTCACTAGGACTGTACGTGAGGGTTTGTTTATTTATGTAATTTTTAAATATAGTAATAAAAAAATGAAGTTTTTAAAAACTATTTTTTTCAACAAATGATACCACTTTTAATATATATATAAACGTTACAGCTTATATGAGTAAAATTTATGAACATTTTGAGCTCTGTATATTAACTCATTTTGATGCAATGAGTTGTGTATGACAATCCGAATACTTTTCCCTGCAGTACTTCCCAGAAAAGAATAATTTTAAAGAAAATGTTCACTTTTTCTAATTTTTTCTTCAATGAGGTATGAATACTACGATTAGTAAATACTAGCACAAACTACTACTGCTACTATATACAATATGCGCATGCATTTTAATCATTACTTTTATATGTAATTTTTTTAAACATATACTGAAGACAGAGATGTACGTGAAATAAAGCAGAAAACGAGGCTTTCAGAAATGTCAGTTGTTCAATCCGAAAGGGCTCCTGTACGGATGCGCAAGTGAAATGTTAGTTGATCAATCCGAAAGGACTCCTGTATGGATGCACAAGTGAAATGTTAGTTGATCAATCCGAAAGGACTCCTATATGGATGCACAACTGAAATGTCAGTTGATCAATCCGAAAGGACTCCTGTATGGATGCGCAAGTGAAATGTTAGTTGATCAATCCGAAAGGACTCCTATATGGATGCACAACTGAAATGTCAGTTGATCAATCCGAAAGGACTCCTATATGGATGCACAAGGCATCCATATAGGAGTCCTTTCGGATAGATCAACTAACATTTCACTTGTGCATCCATATAGGAGTCCTTTCGGATTGATCAACTGACATTTCAGACAAGTGAAATGTTAGTTGATCTATCCGAAAGGACTCCTATATGGATGCACAAGTGAAATGTTAGTTGATCTATCCGAAAGGACTCCTATATAGATGCACAAGAGAAATGTTAGTTGATCAATCCGAAAGTTGAATAATTCTAATGTATGAAGTATTGATACAACTTTGAGAATTCAGTAAACACACACACGAAATAAATGTTTCGTGTGCATTTCAAAAAACGTGCATGATGATTGATATTATATTCATTAAATACAGGTTTTCATTTTAAAAAATCGATTGTTATCGTAACATTAAGGAAATTAACATCGATATTCTTAAGTAATCTCACTGCTTCACGTGTGAACGTGATCTGGATTGAACGTCTTCAGTTTTGTATCAATTTTGAGAGCGGACATTTTAAAAGTATTCTGTAAACGTGTACAGACATTCAATTTATGGTAATCGATTTTTTAGACACCCTGTATTTTTTATGCAAAAAAATTTTAAGCACGGATTTTGTCCTCTTTTCGTTGTCCCCCGGTGGGACAGGGTAAGTCTACGGACTTACAACGCTAGAATCCGGGGTCCGATTCCCCACTGTGGACATAGCAGATAGCCCAATGTGGCTTTGCTCAAAAACAAACAAATTAAACTCTTTTTCGTTAACACTGGATATGATGCTGAACGTTTTGTCCTTTCATGCTGACGGTGTTGCCTTTACGATGACGTAATGTTACAAGTTTAGTATCAGAACTACTGGAATTAGGCTTACTGAAACTAAACTGAATTCTTAGTCACAACCAAGAGAAGTATTGGATACAACTCGGTTACAAGACATAACATAAAAAAAATTATTGAAATATTTTCAGACCTAATCCCTTCCATGCATTAGTCGTCGAATGAAAGAGTGCACCTCGTTAATATTACACTTGTTGGAAAAGAAAATTATTCTCTAAAAGTAAAGATATTACTTCAATTCAAATTTCTCAGCTTAGTGCAAACAACCCGATTCGTTACCATAATAACTGTTTAAGCCTTACTTTGTCGTGGCTTGGAATGTTGAAAATTTATTTATTTACATTTTCTACTACTACATTACCGAAGAGATTTATTCACACTTGGGAAACGCTAATCACTAAATCACTCCAGAGATTTGTATACTGTGACAATCATCGTATTCACACTTGGGAAACGCTAATCACTAAATCACTCCATAGAATTGCAATATCACACTGCATCTCTTACCATCAGCCTACTCATAGCTCAGAGGTAGGGAATTTTATCAAAAAAAATGTTGTCTTCAGATGAGAAAGAAAGGGGGGCTGGTGTAGATATTTATTCAAACGCACATCTTGGTACTATTCTTCTGTTATAAAAGAATATAGAGGTAAAACGCACATCTGGATAAAATTCTTTTGTTATAGAAGAATATAGAGGTAAAACGCACATCTTGGTACTATTCTTCTGTTATAGAATAATATAGAGGTAAAACGCACATCTTGATAATATTCTTCTGTTATAGAAGAATATAGAGGTAAAACGCACATCTGGATAACATTCTTTTGTTATAGAAGAATATAGAGGTAAAACGCACATCTGGATAACATTATTTTGTTATAGAAGAATATAGAGGTAAAACGCACATCTGGATAAAATTCTTTTGTTATAGAAGAATATAGAGGTAAAACGCACATCTGGATAACATTCTTCTGTTAT